GCTCAAACAGGTCTCCCCAGACCTACTGTCTCTCCTTGTACCCCTCCTCACATCATGGACAGAGAGCTTCTCCAAAAAAATGCAGATCTACTACACCACTCTTTCTCGCTCTAAAACTGTCTGTGGCTGTCATGCCTACAGAAAAAAAATGCAAAGTCCTTAACAGGGCATTTATGTCCACCAGAACTGTTTAAGTCAGAAACTTTTTGGTTACAATTGACAGACATTCGACACATTTGTTTGAGTGAAAAGAAGAACATATTGAACAATTGACAGACATTCAACACATTGGTTTGAATGAAAAGAAGAACAAATTGGCCCTGGAAGTCCAAAAGTGGTCTTGCTTCAGGCCTAGCTGGCTCCAGAGGTTCGAATGATACTACCAAAGCTCTTTCTCTCCTTTTCTCTGCATGTCCCTGCCTGACTCCAGTATGATTGCACTCTTCACATGGGGAGGGTGAGTCCTTAGGGGCCCAGAGCCCTCATGATTGCAGTTCACGGACAAAAAGAAGAGGAGACCCTCTCTCTTCCTGTACCCAATAACAAGCCTTCTGAGAAGATTCTGATTGTTCCTAATTTGAGGTCTATGAGCTTTGGAGGGAACATGAGGTTCCCATTGGCCAGATGTGGGTCTCAGGCCCACATCTATGGTCAGGAGCTGATGGTTTCTCTGATTGGCACAGCACTCTGACTGATAGTCCCACAAGAACTACACAGGATGGTAGACGGACGATTTCCCAATGGTAGGAGGGTACACTCGTAATGTCCCCATTGGGGACTATGATAGGTGCTTTGGGTATAAAGAATAGAGAGTCACCCCACGTAATGGTGGGAGTTATTCGAGGAGTTCTGTGCTCATGAGTCTGTAACCACTGGGCTGCAGGAGAAGTAGGAATAGCATCTGCCCTCTTTCTCCTTGTTAGTAACTCAGCTACTCTCTGAGGGTCAAGCCCCTCCTCCCTGTGACTGCAGGTTCCTACCACTTCTCTCCCTCTACACTGTGTTTCTTGGCGCTGCCTCAGCCTCCTGCTCACTCATAATTTCTTCTTCCACATCACTCCATTTATTTCTTTGTCCATCATATATTTATTGAACATCTCTTGTGTGCCAACCACTGACCCAGGCAATGGGGATATAGTAGCCAAAAGAACTGACAAAAATCTGTCCTTATGGAGCTCACATTCTAATGGGAGAGGACAGGACATAAACCAAAAAAAATGTAATCTGTCAGGGGGTAGTAAAGGGTGTAGATAAGCAAAGGAATAAAACAGAGAGTGATGGCAGGATGTGTGCTATGTTATTTAAGGCCTTGTTAATAAGGTAAAATTGGAGCAGAGACTTTAAGTAGGGAGCCAGTCACAGGGCTGTCTGCAGCGGGGTGCGGGGTCGGGGGAAGCACATGAAGTGCAAATGTCTTGGGAAGGCTTATGCTTGGTGTAACTGAAGCACATAGGCGGGCTCAGGAAACAGTGACTGGGGGAAGTGATGGGAGGTGAGTTAAGAGTTGTGGTGGGGAGCAAGGAAGGTGGGCGTGGGAGGGCAGACAGCCAAAACATGTGGGGCCATGTAGATCAGTTTTAGGATTCTGGCTTCCAGGGAGGTGAGCCACTAGAGGGCCCTGAGCAGAGGAGGGACATAATCTGCTTTCCGTGTTGGAGGGTCGCCCTGCCGCAGGGGAGAGAATTAACTGGGGTGGGTGAGGCAAAGATGAAAATAGGAAGACCGATTAGAACTTTGATTTGCAAATCTAAGCGAAGGATCATAGTGGCTTGGACTGGGGTGGTACAGTGCAGATCGTCAGAAGTGGTCAAATCCTGAATCTCTTTTAAAGGTAATGGCATCTAGTTTTGCTGGTGCATTAGATGTGGGATGGGAAAAACAGGAGGAATAAGAGAAGATTTGGAGTTTTGGCTCCAGCGAATGGTAGAATGGAGCTGTCCTTGACTGAGATAAGAAAGACTGGGGAATCCCCTCACAATCTTTGTTAGGCTTTGCCTCTCATGGTTAATGGTCTCATTCTCTCCATACTTCCTAGTCCTGTGTTCTGAGAGAGGGAAACTGACTGGCTCAGATTGGAGTCATTGGCACAAATATGGTGGTTACATGGGCAGAAGGGGTTATGAGTGAGGCAGCTTCCTTAAAGAAGCCGCATAAATGATGAATATCATTTTGACATTTCCAGCACAGTGTCCTGGCTCTCAACTACTTTTGAGCTTCATCTCCTGCTACCTGCCCCCAATCCCTCTGCCTGTCCCCAGGCACCTGATGCTCCAGCCACATTCCATGTGGTATATTTCCATGCTATCAAGTTTTTTCTCCTGCTGTTACCTCAACCCAGGATACCTATCTTCATCTGTTTCTGTCAAACTTGGTGTACCTCAGCTGTGGGGATAGGGCGGGGACAGGACTAGCAGAGTCAGAATTAGGTGAGTTCTGGAGAACACTGAATCTGGAGAACAGGCCCTATTGGTGTTTGGGGTATGTATTCAGGGCTGTTTTTAGAACAGGCAACTGGTCAAGACTATAGAACATGTTTTGGACCCCCTAAGGCTGATTTCAAGCAGAAACCAGCACCTCACGAAGGACATAGCATGAAAGCTTCTGGACAGAGATGGTCACTGTCAACAGTAGGACTCTTGCTGTCCAAATCTATATGAAAGAGACCAGAAATAACATAGAAGGTAAGGAGTTCTAGTGAGACTCAGGTAAGAGGCCCTGGCTCCTAATTTGATGTATCGAGCAGAGCAGTGTTCTCAGTCTAGGGGGGGCCTGGGGACAAAGCCAGGTACTGGGGGCCAGGTATCCTGCTATATATGATGAGGGCAGCATTGACTGGGCCAACCCAGTGCCCTGACAACTTCCAGGGACTTACCTACTGGACATCAGGCAATAGTCGAGAGTTCTGCCATGCTGGGTGTTGATGGGTTCTGAGCAGGGTCTCCAAAGTGGGTTGTACATCTTCTGTGTGTGTATGTGTGCGCAAGATAATCCATTTAGGGGTAAGATGAGAACATTAGAACTTCTACGTTTATGTACTCCAGTCTCATCCTTTTTCTATGTCTTATAAAATTTATAATATGTTAGTCCAGTAGCACATTTAATGAATTTATAAATAAGTATTTAAATATCAAATAAGTGTATAAATATTATATTGGGAGTAAACATTAAGAATTTTTTTACTAATAGGGTATATAATCAAAGGAGTTTGAAGGCTATCTTTCTAGGAGACTGATGGTCAAGATGGGCAGCACCATGCAGGGTGGAAGGTGGGACTGTCATTTGCTGAGATGGGGAATAGGGAGGGGCCATAGGTAGGGAGGAAGGAGGAAAGAGACTTAATTAGGGGCTGGCTGATTCATTAGGAATCTTGTGTATCCTCCTGAAGTGACTTGTTGAGGGCGAAGCTGGGCAAATAGGCTTGGGGAAAGAAAGGCCTCAGGGATCCTGGTGGGAAGGAGGCGTCTGGGACACACTGGCCCCAGTCAAGAGGGAAAGCCACTCCTTAGTCTGCCTCCAGGTCCTGCTAGCAGCTCCCCCAGCCAACCCTGGCAGCTCAGAGCATCAAGAGCCTTCCAAGTGGGAGGAGGCAGAGCTGAGAGCTGAGCTGAGAAAGTTTTTCAGGGGCAGAGAAGGAAAGCCTCCCAGGGGGGAGACCAAGTTGAGGGTGCAGCCTTTGTGGAAGGGCTGGAATTGGGAAAAAAAGAGAGGGGACTCCCTTCCAGGCATCTCAGATGCCACCTGGACAATCCTGGACAATCACTTCATCCCACCTCCAAACCGGAACAGAGACACAGGATATACACAAATCCTTCATTGGACACCGAGGCACAAGAACAGTAAGAGTGTCTGAAAAAGCAAACAGTTCTTCCACTTCCCCACCCCCAGAACCACTCAGGGACATATAGACCCACCCGGACGAATGGAAGAGGAAGAACTGACCGACCGAAAGGCAGGTTCCTGTGCTCCCTCTCGGGGACACACCCAGACCACACCAATCCTAGCTGCTGCTCACCAGGGCCTGGGACTCCCCAAGGCACTGGGGGCGTGCAAGGTCCCTGGAGCCGGTAGGTTTTCCTCGGGTCTACGCGGGGCTGGGCACTGTTGGCGCCAGAACCAAACGTGCCGCGACACGCATCTGAGGTCTCCGCGGTCTCCGTGCTGACTCTGGGGATAAAATTACGGCTGCGCCAAGGAGCAGAGGAGCAGAGGAAGGAGTCAGGATAGCAGAGACCCCCCAAGAGAGGGACTCCAAAGTTGCGTTCTGAGAGCCTGAACCTTAAATCTGGGTGCAGGTGAAGAGGCAGGGCTACCGCACCGGCCTGGTATGGATGCATAACTCGAAGTTATTCTGAAGTTTTGGAAATCTCCTTGCCCCAATGACGGGGCGGGTGGCTACGAAGGGCCCACTCATCTGGGTCTATACTTGCTTTCAGCTGTCTCCAAGAGGGTCTGGGCAAAGGGGTGGGGACGGTGGTCACAGTTGGGAGTGTAGTCGGGAAGAACATTGAAAGGGTTATTTGGGATGGACCAGTGTGAGGGGAGGCCTGTCCCAGAGACAAGGAGAGACAAACCTGGAGCCATGGGGAGTGACATACAAAATTTTATTATTATTATTA